TAGCACTCTGCTGCTTTTTTTGTCCCAAAACGAAAGAAACCTACAAAAACACTCCGTACTAATTATTTATATATTATTACTATTTATTATTTAGTCCCCGTGACAACAATAGTTCATAACCACACGTTTTATCCTCCATTAATTTTGTACAAATATATACGTACCCATTTGTAATAAATACATAAAGTAATTAATAATGGGTTGTCAATTATTGTTGTCTATTGTGTATATTTAATCCTCACAAATAATATAAAAAACATTTTTCAGGTAAAAAAGAAAAAAAGAAACTGGAAATTTGTGAAAATTATTTATTTTGCTTGATATATATCCCTTGAGTTATTGTCCTAAGAAGCAAATAGAGACAGGTGCATGCATGGTGCCACTTGCAATGATTTGTGGGGTTTGTATGTATATATTTTAAATTTAGGTTTAAATATTAGGGTAAATTCCACTTTACCCCCTCGTACTCTGCCTGAGAAACACTTTACCCCCTCGTACTCTCAATTTCATCGATTTACCCCCTTGTACTTGTACAATTTCCCAATACAACCCTTTCCTTCAACTTTTGTCAATTTTGACTCTGACGCCGTTTGGTCAACTCTGTTAATTACAAAATTGCCACTGTCTATAACGCGTCGTTTCTCCTCCGTTAATATTGTCATTTCTTCTTCTCCCACCACTTCCCCTTCCAAGATATCCCCAAATTGAACCCCTGACTTAATAAAAATCAAGACCAAAAAATTGATCGATTCCACCCAGTGCAAAGAAAAAAATATATGAATGTGTGAAACTTTCTCTTTTCTAATCTCGAGAGTCAAAATCAAAAAAATTCAATATCTACGTCAATATTTTGACTATTGACCAAATGGCGTCAGAGTCAAAATCGAAGAAAGTTGACGAAGAGGGTTGTATTGGGAAATTGTACAAGTACAAGGGGGTAAATCGACGAAATTAAGAGTACGAGGGGGTAAAGTGGTTCTTGGGCAGAGTACGAGGGGGTAAAGTGGAATTTACCCTAAATATTATGTTGAAAGTTGAAACCATATCAAGATTTCAGACACCTACCACAATTATGTGAATTGTGTTGACATTTTCCAAAATTTAAAGACAATTGGGAATAATCCACGAATAATTGAGGGTTTTGGTTGTTACTCAAATCTCTTTTATTTTATATAGAGATGTAAAAATAATCATGTATGATGGGTCAGTTCGGCACTTGTGGGCCCAACATATATCCCATACTCAAGGTTGGTGGGCTGAAGCCCAAACAAGGGATTATAGTCGAGCTCAACATCAAGATGGTTCATATACTTTACGAGCCGATTCTGGGCGAACATGGAGAACTGAGATACACTAAGGAGTTCAACAAAGAAAGAGAGTACAAAAGTAGGAATGTAAAATAGCTCGCGCGACCATACGATATGTAGCACGTGCGACCCGCAATACATCAGCTCGCAAGATAAATAAGGAAAGTGTATAAATCAAATAATTGATTGAACTATTGAGGAAAATTAAGGACGGATAAACATTTCCTAGATTAGGAAACAACCACATACAATTCTTTATATAAACGAAGGCAAAATACCCAATTAGGGTTACACACAACACCAATAATACAGTTCATATTTTCTTTTACAATTTCTCTGTCGTCTTGTTCATACTCATTGATTCTGAGTCCCGCGACAATTGAGCTTCTCCGGCTGACAATTGAGTAGGGTTTGAAGAAATGTTTTGAAGGTGCAATTTTTGTGCCATCAATATATAATACCCATTAACGATCATTCTAGAGTTTTGTTTAATGCATTCGACCCTTCTAAAATTTGTTTAAGACATTCGACCCTACGTACGGGCTTAAAATTCTGATTCCGCTGGTGATTGGTTCATTATATCTCATATCGTAAATTAATACTTATATGTGGAATGACCCTATTTTTGTTTATATATAGAGTAGATATTTGAGTCACGTTTAAATGCAATTTTTGGGACCATATACTTTAGCCAACCAATAATCACCAAACCCTAGAGGCTATGATATAATTGGTATCCTTGGGTACATCCAAATGAATTAGAGGATTATATTCACAATTAATTTAATCGCTGGACTAATTACCTGTTGATAGGATTGATTAAATATTATTTTTTGTATTTGATTTATGATATTTTAATTTGGTCATGTGATATTCATAAATATGTTTTATTGATAATTATAATCAAGATTATTTATTTAATGTTTCATCCATTGCAGAGCTTGTTTCAACAAAATAAGTTGAGTATTTAGGTTTTTATAAAATAAATGAATATATTTAAAATAATTGACTATACATCAAGACTGTAAAATGCGGAAAAATTAAAAATCAAACAAATTTTCAATAAAACTATTATTTAAAGAGCACAATAAAAAAAAAAAAAAAGACAATGCACTTTGTCCCCTAGAAATTTTCATTTTTTGCACTTACCCACCCCCTACAAATTCAAAAAATAGATTCTTCCCCTTCAAAAGTTTGTTTCAATTGCACTTTGCCGCAAATTACAATTTTCGGCTATTTTTCACTATAATTGCCATGAAATCGTCCATTGAAAAGCGTTTGTGTCATTTCAGGGACGGATCACCTTGCTAACTGAAAAAGAGGAAATTAAAGATTTTCATAACTTTGAGACTGCAATAGTCACAATTCGGTCGGGAGAGGAAAAAAACACTATTTTTTCTTCTTCTTAAATAAGTGAAGTGTGTTGTGTTTTTCGTCTATTAGAAAACATAAGGATATTAAGATTTAGATAGCAATGATGAAATAACTCAAATGTCTTTAAAGTAGACAGATAATGACAATTCCAAGGAAAAATACCTCAAAAATTATGATTTGGGACAAAGTGAAACTTAAACAAAATTGTGAGGGGGAGAATCTCTTTTATTAATTTGTTGGGGGGAAATATGAAAATTAAAATTTTTATGGATGAAATGCATTTTATCCAATATTTTTTTTTTCTTTTTTTGAATTTATCCTACAACTTCGTGTTCAAGTTAACGAAACATTGATTGTTAGGACATAAATTAGGAGTTCACAATCCAGGCTGCATAACCATTTACTATTACTATTTATTATGAAGAAAAGTAGGAATATATTCATATGGACTATTCAACAACCATTATTACATCACAATTAGTTGAATATATAGCCTTCAATTTCTTTTATTATTACTTTTTTCTTAAAATTAATTTTCCACTAACTAAAATGTAAAAGATGTGTTATTTTTATCATATTAAATAATCAATTTTATTATAAGGAAAAAATAATAATTTAAAATGTATAATCCTATCTGATTACTCGGCAAATAATTATAGAAACTTATTTGCAAGTTGCAAATAATGGTTGTATAATTTATTTGCATGGGAAGTAGAAACCAAAGTCAAACTTATAAGCTATATTTAATTAGTGTGATCGACAGCTGTAGCTATATGCTGGTATACTTTTAGACTATATAGACTACAAATTTGGACTTATATACCGTATATGCTTACTCATTTGTTTGCAAGTGGAAAATTGACCACTCTTCAACTTTAAATTATTGGAAGTATTCTATTATCATCTTTTTAATTTGAATTACGATTATAAATTAATACAATCGGTAAGAAAATATTTTATTAATTTACGATATTTTAAATTATAAAAACTAATAATCTAAAATATTTTTAAGTGAAATTATTGATTTATGAAAAACTAATAATCTAAAATATTTTTATCAAGTAAGAACAAAAAAAATATTATTTAAGTAAAATTATTGATTTATTGTACTGTATAATTAAAATTTGAGAAACAAGAATAGAGATTTACTCAAAAATAGTCTGTCCAAGCTGAAAAATCATTAGGCCCGAAGTTGAATTTTGGGCTAAACTATTTTGAAATTTTTATTGGGTTTAGCCCATATAACTTCTCAATTCCAAAAAATAGCCACAATTTTTTTTATTTATTTATCGATTTAATTTTTCATTAAAAATTATGTAAATCATGATTTTTAAAAAAATGTAAATTACATCTACACCACTGAGATATGCTAAAATAATTTTAAGGTCCATGTAGGGGTGGTAAACGAGCCGAGCCGGCTCGCGAACTCGACGAGCCGGCTCGAAAAAAGCTCGAACTCGAGCTCGGGATTTTCGAGCTCGAGCTCGAGCCCAAAATTAGCTGTTCGACAGCTCGCGAGCCGGCTCGCGAGCTGCCTTCTAATTTTTTTTTTTTTTTTTACATATATATATATATATATATATATATATATATATATATATTATTATTATTATTATTATTATTATTATTATTATTATTATTATTAACTAAATAGTAAATAGTCTATAATAATAAATATATCTAGTATTTAAATAGAAACAAATCTATATTACTTAAATAATTCATAATTATATAAAATATAATAATAATAATAATAATAAATTAATAATAATAATAGAAAAAATAAAAAATATATATACCTAGAGTTCATTATTTATTTTATAATTTTTTTTTATTTTCCTATGAATGATTTCTAATAAAAAAATTAAATAATAAAAAAAAAAAATTATTTCTGAGCTCGAGCTCGAGCTCGAGCTCGAGCTCGGGAACCAGGACTCGAGCTCGAGCTCGAGCTGGCCAAAAGAGCCGAGCTCGGCTCGTTCCCACCCCTAGGTCCATGTGGTATCAGTAATTACAATCACACCTAAAACATTGTTAGAAACTCTAATGAGAAAATGCATTGGGTACGTTATTCCGATAGGATTCTAACGAACTATTAGTTTTATGAAGTGGTGGAGACAATGCAATTGCATTATCTCGTTAAACTTTCTAAAAATATTTTAGGGGGTAATTGTAATTACTAATAGTACATAGACCTTAAAGTTATTTTAGCATGTTTCAGGGCTATATGTGTAATTTACCCTAATTTCGAGTGATACGTCGTCGCTTACGCCATGGCGCACCCATTTCAATTATTTCGAACCAGACAAAAAATGACGAATTTGCTTACGATTGTGATTGAAGGAAGAGAAGATGAATACACCTTCTCCGACATTAAATTAAATCCTCGTTTTTTTGTTTTCTACTCAGTAATCGTACTGAATTTTCTAGTGCAAGAGAGAAATTAAACGAGAGATGGGTTGGAGAGGAATATTGGGGTTTGATTACGGGATTGTGCAGGCGCCATTAGGCCCCGATATTTCCGGCCCGGAGCTGGTCGCCGCTGTTGCAAACGCCGGCGGCCTTGGTTTTCTCCGATCCCCTGATTGGGTTCGTATTTTCTGCTCTTTTCTTTAATTCCAATTATTTCAACTTTTTTTTTATTTTTTATTTTTTATTTTTTATTATTGATGCAATTTGATTACATATTTCCATCGGTAATTAACTCATTGATAAATGATAATGGAATTTATTATTATTGTTTTAGGGAAAATTGTAACTTTAGCTATGTGGCTTATTTTGTGATTTAGTCCTCTAAAGTGTCGTATTTCATTTTTACATGCTATTACATTGCAAATGTAGCATGGTTTGGTCCTATTTCGCCTGAAATTTGTATATATACCCGTTTCTTAATGATGTGACTAACAAATTCGGCGAAATTTAAAATTTACTTATATGGACACTTCGAAATTATAAATGCTCTTCTTACATGATTTATAAACCCGTCCTATCACATGATCAAAATTCTATTAAGACTAAGTTAGATGACGAATTTGTAATATTTTATATGTCCAATACAAGCAAAATTCGCCAAGTTTGTTTGTCGGAGTTATAAAATAGGGTAAATTACACCCACACCCCTGAGGTATGCTTAAATAACTTGAAGGTCCCTGTAGTATCGATAATTACACTCACACCCTTGAAACGTATTTATAAACTCTAATGGGATAATGCACTGGATACGTTATTACGATAGAGTTCTAACGGATTATTGGTTTCAGGAAGTGGTGAAGACAACAAAGAGTTATGGGTGATTTAAGAAATATTGGGGGAGCCATGTCACCCCATAACTCCCCATAACTCTATGTTATCTCCACCACTAGCTAAAAGTAATAGTCCATTAGAACCCTATCGAAATAATGTATCCAATGCATTATCCCGTTAGAATTTCTAACTACGTTTCAGGTGTAAGTGTAATTATCGATACCATAGGGACCTTAAAATTATTTAAGCATACCACAAGGGTGTGGGTGTAATTTACCCTATAAAAAAAAGATGCTAAACTTTCAAAATTATTGCATGTAAAATTGAAATAACACAACTTAAAGGACCAATTTCCTAACTAGACCACGTGATAAAGGACCAAATTACAATTTTCCCTTGTTTATGTGCCTAATAATCAATCATTAGGCAAATTCTAATTGTTAATCGTAGATCTACACATAATCAGACACACCCATGTGTATGTGTGCTTAGTGGGCGGTTATTTAACATCATCTGCGGTTAATAAATACCCGGTGGTGTAGCATATAACTTCCCATATATATGTATGCATACGAAACATCACCCCAAGTCTAGTTTTTTTTTTTTTGATATTTCTTGCATATATATATGAGTCAAATCGATTTGCATAACAGGCGGCACCCGATTACGTGAGAGAGCTTATAAGGAGAACAAGAGCTTTGACCGATAAACCATTCGGAGTGGGTGTCGTTCTTGCGTTTCCTCACGAGGAAAACGTAAAAGCTATATTGGATGAAAAAGTTGCGGTTTTGCAGGTTTACTGGGGCGAATGTTCACAACAGCTCGTGCTTCAGGCTCATCAAAGTGGGGTGAAAATCGTACCTCAAGTAAGATTCGTGAACTCCCAAATAAATTATCGTTCAATCTTCATATGTATACGTTTTGAGAATTTGCAGTGCGGTTATTTGAGTTTTCTTCTTATATATATATCTATACATATAACATAGGTCGGTAGTTATGAAGAGGCAAAGAAAGCTGTTAATGTGGGTGTAGATGCAATAATTGTTCAAGGAAATGAAGCTGGAGGGCATGTGATTGGTCAGGTATTTTTTCTACTTTTTCTCTTTTTTGTTCGTCCCGATTTCGATTCTGGTTCAATCTATATCCGGACACTGTCTTTACGTATAATAATTTGTCCCGAAAAAAAAAAATTCTTTTTGGGAAAGTGTTGCTACTTGCTACCCATTGTGCTTAACACTATATGTGCTTATTTTACGGAAAATAGGAGGGGTTAATGACATTATTGCCGAGAGTAGTTGATCTCGTTAAGGGTCGTGATATTCCTGTAATAGCTGCCGGTGGAATAGTGGACGAGCGTGGCTATGTGGCTGCTCTAGCCCTTGGAGCCAATGCTGTTGCACTCGGCACTCGGTAATTAATTGAGCCGCTGATTAATTTAAATAATTTTTTTTTGCCTTTTATTTTTATTAACAAAAGGGGCAAATTACAGTCACCCTCTGAGTTATGATCAAATTACGAAAACCCCCTCCTGTTTGGGTAATTACAGTCACCCCTAACTATGTATTATCTTACGAAAAGACCCATCCAGAGGTAAATTTAGGGATGTTAATTCGGTAAAACCGAACCGAAATTTCGGTACGCCAACATTTCACACCGTTTACCAATTAAATATACGATTTGGTTCGGTAAATAACCGAATTACATAAATTTTATGTAAAAATATTTAAAAGGAGGGGGTGACTGTAATTACCTAAACAAAAGGGTTCTTTTTTTTGTAATTTGGCCATATCTCAGGAGTGGCCGTTATTTGCCCTGAAAAAAATCTTGTTAGATAAACAAGATTCTTTAATTTGCTTCTGTTGCTCGATTAGATACTTGATGGTAAATATATATGTTAATGCAGGTTCCTTGCAACAGAGGAAAGCTATGCTCACCCTATATACAAGAGGAAGTTAGTCGAATTTGATAAAACCGAGTACACAAACGTATTTGGACGTGCTAGATGGCCAGGTGCACCTCACCGTGTCTTGAAAACTCCGTTTTTCCTGGATTATTGCGGGACCCTTCCGAATCACGAGAACGAGACCAATCAGCCAATCATAGGCCGTTCACTCATACATGGAGTGGTGAATATATAGACACTAAACTTAATTACTCCTCAATCCTCATAAATAACATTTTGTTCTTTATTTTAATTATTTATAGCACAATTTGAAGTTTTAATTTTATATTATTATATTATATTTTGTTTTTTGTTTTTGGTGGTGATAGGAGAAAGAGATTCGAAGGTTTGGCGGGACCGTACCGAATGCAACGACAACGGGCGATATTGAAAGTATGGCGATGTACGCTGGACAAGGTGTGGCGCTGATTGATGAAATTATACGGGCTAGTGAAGTTATAGAGAGACTTGTTAACGGGGCTCGAGGTTTAATTCTGAAAGAATTTGCTTCAGAAAAGTTCGGAGAGGCGATTTAGGTATCTTCGAACTAACTGAAACGTGTGCTTTCTCCTCAACGAAGAATGTTATAGCAACCACTTTTTGTATCTACTTAATGATGTACTTAACTTAAATAAACCTAATTTTGGTGGAAAGTGATCCATTAATGATTTACTTAATAATAATTAATACCTAATTTTGGTGAATGAATGAATCACCATTGTTGCATGGAGGCTATAAAACCCCATAGATACATTTCTTGCCCCTCTCATTCCATTTCACATTCTACTGTGTGTGTTTTTATCTCTGTGTGTGTGTTTACTGTGTGAGAACTTAAAAAAACCTAGGGTTTCCATGGCGGCGGAAAGTTACAAACCCCATGCAGTCGTTATCCCGTTCCCGGCACAGGGCCACGTAAACCCCATGCTCAAGCTATCCAAGCTCCTCCACAGCCGCGGCTTCTTCGTAACCTTCGTCAACACAGAGTACAACCACCGCCGCTTTCTCAAGTACGGCGGCGGCCCGGCCGCTCTGGCCGGATTGCCGGACTATCGGTTCGCCACCATTCCCGACGGACTTCCGCCGCCGTTGGAATCGGAGGACTCACCCCAGGATCTCACTTCTCTCTGCGACTCCACCACCAAGAATTGGTTGGAGCCGTTCTGCAACCTCCTTACGAAGCTCAACAGCTCCGGCGATGATGGTGTGCCACCGGTGACCTGCGTCATCGCCGATTTGGTACTGAGCTTCGCGGTGAAGGCCGCGCAGGTGTTCGGTCTGCCGGCGGTGGTGTTCTGGACGTCGAGCGCGTGTGCCTTTTTGGGGTACGCGCAGTATAAGTATCTTGTGGAGAAAGGTTACACTCCCCTCAAAGGTACAACTAGATTAAATTTAAAAATTTAACTACATTTATTAATTAAAAAAGTTGATAATTATTTATATATTAATTTTAGGAAAATATATGTAAATAATATCACTAAACTATGGTATGTACAGATAAGAATCAGATTTCTGATGGATATCTGGAGACAACGTTGGACGAAGTACGAGGAATGAAACAAATCCGATTGAAAGATTTCCCTTCTTTCATCCGTACAACAGATTCTCAAGACATAATGCTCAATTTCATGTTGCAAGTAACCGACGCCGCACACTCAGCGAAAGCTATAATCGTAAACACCTTCGACGCTCTGGAACAAGAAACCCTACACGCGCTCTCCGCCACATACGCCCCACTTCCCATCCACACAGTCGGCCCACTACCGAATCACGGCGCCGCCAGTCTCTGGAAAGAAGACCACAGCTGCATCAAATGGCTCGACACGCAACATCCCGGCTCCGTGCTGTACGTCCACTTTGACAGCCTCGTGGCGGCGACACGTCAGCAGCTGGCGGAGTTCGCATGGGGCCTCGCGGACAGCCGGAAACCTTTTCTCTGGTGCGACACGGCAGCCGCCGCCGACAGGTCGCTTCTGCCGCCAGGATTCGAGGCGGAGGTTCAAGGCCGGGGCGTGGTGGAAGGGTGGGCCCCGCATGAACGGGTGCTGAGGCATCCCGCCATTGGAGGGTTCTTAACGGATTGTTGGCCGTACTCTGCTCTGGAGAGCATTGGGAACGGTGGGTTGCCGTTGATTTGCTGGCCTGTCATCGCCGAGAACCACACAATCTGTAGGTACAGTTGCGTGGAGTGGGGGATTGGGTTGGAGATAGATAACGATGTCAAGAGGGCTGACGTGGCGGAGGCGGTGAGGGAGGTGATGGGCGGTGATAAGGGGAGGAAGATGAAGGAGAAAGCGTTGGAATTGAAGAGAAAAGCAGAGGAGGCAACTGCACCAGGTGGTTCTTCGGTTTTATCTATCCTACACCCGGTGAAGGTTACACCGGGTGATTTTTTACCGTTGATCTACACATACCAATGTGGGTGTGTGTGTGTTTGTGTGTATATGAATGGTAAAGATCTACCCGGTGTATTTCACCTGGTGTAGGATCTCAAAAGCCTGGTTCTTCTTACATGAATCTGGATACACTCATTAAGGAGGTTCTTCTCCATTGAATTTCGAGTGTTTTATAATAAACAAGTACACGTATTGTTTATTACATAATAAAACGAACAACGAATATATAGTTGTTATGAATAAATTATTATGTCTCATTATGAGTGCTTAAGTAATGAAATTAAAGTATTAATCTTTTTTGTGCCAATTATATTTAAGCTGTGTTCATGTCAATATTCAAACACTTTCAATTTACTCAAAGCCTACACACAGAACAATAATCATATATAATAGGTGTATAGTATAATTGGAAGTTGTAATAGTGGTGTATTGATCAGTGTCTTTGCTTAAGATATTCAATCAGGAAATTAGATGCTACACTGGTTATTTATACTGGGTGAATTTGAATCGTAAATTTACACACATAATTACACTTACCAAAAATATATTTTTATTAATTACGAAATCGACTGTTATTGTATCTATATATAAGAGGAAAGACCACGGCCACAAGTTTAGCTCGTGTGTCACCTACCCTAAGTCCTAACAATATCATCTTAGGACTATTTTTTTTTAAACATCTTAGCTCTACAATTAAACCTCTAAAAAAATATGGATTGGACCGGCAAATTCTATTAGTTTTAGCATAATATTAAATTACAATAACTAATTAGCATATTGTCTTTGGCGGAGTCAGGACCATGAGAAATTATAATTTAAACTAGACAAACAAATTAAAGCAACCATTTTTTGTATCTACTTGCTGCATTTGAAAGTGATCAATATTAATGAAATACCTAATAAAACCTAATTTTAATTTGGACCACATATGTTAACATGAAGGCACGTACTAATTAATCAAGATTGTCGAGTTTGAATCCGATCCATCGAGATGGTTTGTTACAGTCGATAAATTTTATCAGGTTATAATTATATATCATACACTTGTATAGATCAATACATAACATACGCACACACGCTCACATAATTTCATTTATATGCCACGTGTTTGATGTATAAGTGCGATCGTGACTAAATTAAAAGTCGAAAACTGTGAAGTGTACATATTTCACCAGTTGTAATTTTTACAAAGAGCGATATACAATTTATTTATTTACTGTACCTTATAAATTAATGATAAAATTAGTTATATACATTTTTTTATTTACTGTCCCAATTTGTAAATTTTTCTTTTAGAATTAGGCTCACAATTTAAAAATGCTTAGTTTTTAATTAGGTGAACGAATCATCATTGTTGCAGGCTATATATATTCATTGCCCCTCCCATGTTCATTAATTTCACATTCTACTGTGTGTTTTTATCTGTGTGTGTGTTTACTGTGTGAAAACTGAAAAACCTAGGGTTTCCATGGCGGCGGAAAGTTACAAACCCCATGCAGTGTTGATCCCATTCCCAGCACACGGCCACATAAACCCCATGCTCAAGCTATCCAAGCTCCTCCACAGCCGCGGCTTCTTCATAACCTTCGTCAACTCCGACTACAACCACCGCCGCTACCTCAACTCCGGCGGCGGCCCGGCCGCTGTCGCCGGATTGCCGGACTTCCGATTCGCCACCATTCCCGACGGACTTCCGCCGCAGTCGGAATCGGATGACTCCTTTCGGATCATCCCTTCTCTCTGCGACTCCACAAGCAGGAATTGGATGGAGCCCTTCCGCGATCTGCTCACGAGGCTCAACAGCTCCGGTGGCGAAGAGGGTGTGCCGCCGGTGAGCTGCATCGTTGCCGATGGGGTGATGAGCTTTGCGGTGAAAGTGGCGGAGGAGTTCGGTCTCCCGGCGGTGATGTTCTCGAGCGCGTGTGCCTTTTTAGGGTACGCGCAGTATAAGTATCTCGTGGAGAAAGGTTACACTCCCCTCAAAGGTACGTTTTTCGGGGTGATAAATTGGTACAAGAATCAAATTTTGAAACATTTACTAATAAAATAAGTTGATAATTATTTATATGTTAACAAACTTTCTATTGAACATTGAAGATAATAAGATATTACAAATCGTAGGAGAAACCAATGATTGAACTATCAAAACCTAATAATATAATTCTTAACATAAACCACCCCTAATTTATTTTTAGAGAAACTAGAAAAGGCAAAACTAGATATATATTTATAGATTTTATATAAAATATATAAGTTCTAACAATATTATTTTATTCATAAAAAGAAAAATCATATTATAATTCAACAATAAGTATGAAAAACTATTAAAATTTACATAAGTGTATGTTGAAAAACAAAATTGAACTGGTCAAAACCCCTACTTACAAAACAAAAACTGGAGGGTCCGGGTGCCAAAATTGATAGAGTAGAACCTCGATAATTTAATACTCGATAAATTAATAATCTCGTTTAACCAATAATTTATCACTGTCCAGATTCGGTGAAAACGTACTACATAATTATTACTTCGATAATTTAATATTTCACTAAATTAATAGAATTTTGCTAGTACAAAACTGTATTAATTTATAGAGGTTTAAATGTATTTACAAATTACTATTCCAAAAATTTACTCAATAAAAAATGAATCTTGGGGGTGACAACCTCCCTTGTCCATTAATAGGTCCGTACATATAACGGGAAGTTAGATGCTACATCAATCGGTTTATACCGGTTGCTCGTTAAATATAGATGAAGTTAAATTACCATCAATTAAGCACATATGCACATGCATGAGTTTGTGTAGATATATATACGATTAACAGCCACCCCGATGTAGCATCTAATTTTGTATGTAAAAGTTATTATTGCATTATCGAATTTGGTGGATAATTCTTTTCATGATTTTTTTACAGACATGAATCAGATAACAGACGGATATCTGGAGACAAATTCGATTGAAGGATTTCCCTTCTTTTATCCGTACAACTGATCCTCAAGACACAATGCTCAATTTCATGCTGCGAGAAACCGACGCCGCGCACTCAGCCAAAGCTATAATCGTAAACACCTTCGACGCCCTGGAACAAGAAACCCTACACGCGCTCTCCGCCACGTACGCCCCACGCCCCATCTACACAGTCGGCCCGCTACCGAACCACACATCTTACGCCGCCGCCAGTCTCTGGAAAGAAGACCACACCTGCGTCGAATGGCTCGACGCGCAACCGCCCGGCTCCGTACTGTATGCCAACTTCGACAACATCCTGGCGCCGACACGTCACCAGCTGGCCGAGTTCGCATGGGGCCTCGCCGGCAGTATGAAACCCTTTCTCTGGTGCATCAATCCCGAAACAGCGGCCGCCGCCGGAACCGCTCTCCCGCCGGGTTTCGAGGAGGAGGTCCGCGGCAGGGGGGTGGTTGTCGGGTGGGCCCCGCAGGAGCGGGTGCTGAAGCATCCAGCCATCGGAGGGTTGTTAACGGACTGCAGGTGGAATGTTTCTTTCGAGAGCATTGCTGGTGGAGGGTTGCCGTTGATTTGCTGGCCTATCTACGCCGAGGAGCAGACGATCTGTAGGTACAGCTGCGTGGAGTGGGGCATTGGGTTGGAGATAGACAACGATGTCAAGAGGGCTGACGTGGCGGCGGCGGTGAGGGAGGTGATGGGCGGCGATAAGGGGAGGAAGATGAAGGAGAAGGCGTTGGAATTGAAGAGAAAAGCAGAGGAGGCAATTACTGCACCGGGTGGTTCTTCTTGCATGAATTTGGATATACTCATAAATGAGGTTCTTCTTTGTTAAGTGGGGTTCGGTCTTTAATATCCATTTGTTACAAGAATTAATTTGTAAATTTATTATAAAACTTCAAAAGATAATTTTATATATATAACGTTTAAAATTAAAAACTATATGTATTTGTTATCGTTGTTATTTGTTATATTGTTCATAAATATCACTACGCCAAAACGCATTTCATGCGACGTTTTATTGCGACGTAAAAACCTTGTTTGTGACGGAATTTGTAATTTTGCGACAAAATTCGCCGGGGAAAAAGTCAAAAAAGTGACAGTCGCAAATATTTGTGACATTTTTCCTTTAAAGTCGGAACCGTTTGCGACGATTTATTATAACCGTCGCAATGTTGTGATTTTTTCGTCTGCTGATTTATTGCGACAGATTTGACAATACGTCGCCCATTTCGTCCTCCAACCGCGACACATATATATCGTCGCAAACGTGTTGCGACTATATTTTCCGAAAAGATTTCGTCGCAATTTTTTTTTAGCTTTGCGTCTTTTTTTACTAAAGTCGTACAATTTTTGTTACGACATTGCGACGAATATATAGCTATTGTCGCAAATTTTTTTTTTGCGACTGCGACTAATATTCTAAAAACGTCGCAAATATATATATATATATATATATATATATTAATATTTTACTGATTTCTATTTTAATTGTTATTTGACCTGTAATAATAACCAATTCCAATATAATTAAATACACAAAAACATTAAAAAAACTCGCTTAAATTAAATAATCCAAAACATTCTTCCAAAACATAAAATCATCGAAACATTCCAAAACACAAAATCATCAAACACAAAATAATCCAAAAATTCTATCAAAACACAAGATAATCCAAATAATAACTTAAATCATCCAAACATGAAATAAAAGTACCCAAAATCAATGTTGTAGAGAAAACTAGTTGTCGTCGCCGGGTGGATTCTGGGGATGGAACTCGACACCTTCAGCCCTAAAATATTCGACCATGGCTTTCATAGTACTCTGCATTTGATTCATCTCGTCCTTTAAAGTCTGATTGTCTGCTTTCAAAGCCGCTATTTCTTCATCTCTAGCAACATAAGATATGTTGGACCTCGCCCCTTTCTTTGAACTTGAGCAACCAAGTCCTAGTCTTTTAGTTTTTCCTAGTCCTCGTTCGCAAGCTATCGTGTTGGCGGTGATTTCATCACTCCCATCATTCATACATTCTTGATAGACTCTGTCCAAATCCGTCTGAGTAATATAAAAAAGTGTATTAACACTAATTACTTGATACGAAGTATAAAATAAAATAATAATTCAAATAAAAATATACCAACTAAATTGCTCAACCCAAAGATGTTCAAGTAAATAAAAACACAATAATTCATATATAAAGACCGACCAACTACATTAAAGAACCAACATAAACAACCAACATATATAAGTACACCAACTACATTGCTCAACTCAAAGATGTTCAAGTAAACAAAAACACAATAATTTATATATAAAGATCGACCAACTACATTAAACAACCAACATAAAAATAAAATATAAATGCCCACATCTTACTTACACTTAGCCAGATGAAGTTAATAAAATATTGTTAGCATATAAAGAGGATTTAAAACTGTTATGGGTTTATAGAGAGATTGAAAACTGTGATCACTGCTTATATTAACCATTATATTTGAAATTGTTATGGATTTACCATTATATTAACCATTCCCATTAAAACTGTGATCACTGCTTAGTATCATCATCATCAACAATTAATAAACAAAATTCTAAAATATACCCATTTCCGGCTAACATGACCCTAAGAATGGCCTAATTAACTCAATTCTCTTATAATTTTTCAAATACTTGAAAGCATAATTAATAAAAAAAAAATGATTCTGAAATATTCAAAGCACATATATTCAAAATAATTTAACAAAGATTTTATATACATAAAATAATGTAACTTACCCTCTACAAATTCGGCAGCAGTATCGACGGCGGAGTGAATCGAAGGACGGCGGAGTGCAGTGGTGGCAGGGGCAGCGGCAGCGGTGGCAGCAGTGGCAGCGGCGACGGCGGGAGCGGCAACGGCAGCGGCAGTGTGAAACAGGGAGGAGGAGCGAGAGAAGAAGGACTTTGGTGGTGGCTCGGCCGTAGTAATCGGTGATGTCGTCGGCACGGTGGAGACGGATTTCTGTGGAGAATATTGAAGCGGCGGCGGCGGCGGTGTGGAAGATGGAGGAGGAGCTGAGATAGAGGGATCTTGGCGGTGGCTATCTCGTCGACTTTAGCTGCACAGGGGCTTATGCCGTCTGCCGCGATAGCAACGACGATGGCGTCGACCGCGGAATGATTTGCTTCGGCGGAGGAGGGATGTGGTTGCAGCTGCGATTTTGGAAAGAGAGAGGCAGAAAGGGTGGATGAAAAGTACTGTTCTGAAATTAGGGCGTGAAAAAAGGGGTTTAATTTGGATTCGCGACGTTTTTACTTATTCGCCGCAGGACCGAAAATTTCCTTGCGTCGTTTTTCTATATTTTAGTCACCACAACAAATTTATAGAAATAAAATAGTGACTTTACCTAATTACACGCCGCAACAGAAAAATTGTGAAAAAAAAAATCGATTATATTGCGACGTAATTTCAATCCATTTGCACTATTTACGTCGCAAAACAAATTTTGAAATTTTTAATTGGAAAATCATTGCGACACAATAATATTTAAAAATCGCCAATTTTCCAATCACCTTGCGTCGTTTCTTAACTACCGTCGCAAATATTATTAGTTAAAAAAATTAAAAAATATATTTTTTTCTCTTGCGACGAATATTTAAATTAACGTCGTTCCTTTGCGACGTATATAAGAGATTCGTCGCCTTTTCTTCAGGGAACTTTTCGTTTTCAAGTTTGCGATGATTTCAGCGACGTAATTTAGAATCGTCGCAATATTTATTCATTTTTTAAAATTTGAATTTAAATTGTGCATTATTGCGACGATAAGTTACGAAAACGTCGCAATACGAGCGACGTTTACATTATCGTCGCAAACAAAACATCGCTTGAAATGAAATTTGGCTTAGTGAAAAAAAATAAAAATAATTTTTTTAGGGGAAACCCTTAAATTTTCTATTTGTATTTGTATGTAATTTTGTTTTTCCTATTTGACATAACCCTTGGTTTAATATCAAATTATACACTCCATCCAAATAGTCAAACCCTATCCTTGATCTAATCTTCCATTAAATCGTCTATTTCTCTCTATCGTTGATCCTCTATTTTCTCTCCACCGCCAATCCACGATTGTTGTGTAGCTTTTGTTTTCCATCAAATCCGTCTCCCAGTCCGCCATTGCTGAGACTCTCGAGAAAAATATCGATGTCGAACTCAACGATCGCATCATTGTTTCCACTCACATGGAGCTTCAAATTGGTGGACTGGTTTCAAGGTTATGGTTTTCAAACCGTGAAATCTAAATTCAGCCTCGACTAGGGTTCGGAATGCGAATTTGTGAATCATTCCTTCACCAAACTTATAGAGGACCACCATAGTTATAAGTAAGTGTTCAATTATTCAAGCAAGTTTATATAAAAAAATTTCGAAACAAGATAAGGCCGTTCATTTTATATACATTATTTTTCTAGTGGATTTCAGTGATTTTGTAGTGGATTTTGTTGAATGGTCAGCGTCTTAACCAAAAATGTAAGCAATTAGTGAATTTTATAGAATAATTTTGTAGTTGATTTTACTGAATGACCACCTTAACCAAAAGCTTAAGTTATTAGTGAAATGTATCGTTTAATATTAATATTTCCACTATGTCCTCTCACAGTGCAGACAAATTATGTTAATTTGAAGTCTTGCCAATTCAAATATTTGATATGGGTAGTAGTGAAATTGAAACTCAAGACCTACTATTTGACCTGAATGTGATACCATGTTAAATGATCCAGCATCTCTCAACCAAAAAATTAAATTACTTGTAAAATATATTATTTAATATTAATCTTTCCAATAAATTTTTACGAGATTGTAATAGATACAAATGAATAGATCTTGAATTGCAAAAGAGACCAAAATATTTAGAGAAACCACTTTAATTTTTTTAGGTTAAACTATAACCATCCCTGAGGTATGGTCAAATTACGAAAACTGTCCTCTTGTTTGGGTAATTACAACCACCCCTCCACTATAAATCTTCTTACACGTCCACCCTTGCGGTTTAAAATTTAGTGGAATCTTCGAGGTTATATGAAATATTATCACTTTTGTAACAGCTTGATCCCATTCAAACTCCACATTTTGAAGCAAAATGCAATATTTATTTTTTGGCTTGCATATATCAGATTGTGGTGCATCAGAAACTGTATTTTTACACAAAACGAGTACAAACTAGAGCACATTCCATGAAATCTAGATGATTATGTTGAATTTGATACCATAATGGTAGATGTGTAATATAATTATCCAAACAAAAGGGGATTTTTTCATTAATTGACTATAACTCAGGGTGATAGTTGTAATTTACCCATATTTTTTTTATGTACGTACTCACTGAATTGAAGTGTGATACATTAATGAAATACCTAACACACCTAACTTTGGTTGTACTACAAGAACTTAGACATATATACAAAAAGTGTAAAAAATTCCTACCACATATATTCACATGAGCCACGTGCTTGTATTAATTGTCGAGTTTGAATCCGTCAGGGTTTGTCCTATGATACAGTCAATATATTTTATACACTTGTACAAATCCATATATTTCACCGGTGTCCTAAAAATTGGCCGAGATGACGGTTATCCGATCTTTAAGGCAAATACGGTCTAAAATCTTTACAATTTTGATGTAAAAGTTTGAAAAATCGGATTGTAGCCTATAGACGGTTCGTGGTGGTTTGAAACGATCAAACCTTTGAGGCATATCAAACTTTAAAAAATAAAAAAAAATTGGTTTTTAAATCTAGTTTTTTGATTTTGTTTTTCTAATCCAAAAAGAACAATTGGGTTTTTGATAAAAAAATGAATTTATGCTAATTTTTGTTTATTTCAATTGTTATCTTTAAAGGACCTACTGATATATGTTTGCTATGAAGATTTGCGTTTTATTTGTATTTTTTTAAGGATATTTATTGTATTAATTATCATCTTATTATTATTAAATATTTGTTATGATTAAGATATATATACAATGATGGGATAGAACCATGCTAAAATATCTTTATATATATATTTTGAGTATTTACAAATAGTATATATATATATATATATATATATATATATATATATATATATATATATATATATATATATATATATTTTAGATATAAAAATTAATTTATTTTCGATTTCTCATCGACTAATAGTGAGACAGTGTATTAACCGCCTCAGAACCAATTCCTACCTTTGACAAGATGCATGATATGGACCGAGGTGGTTGAAATTTAATCGCTTTATTTAATTTGTAGGACCCCAGGCCAGGCGCTATCAGTTGTCCTAAAATCAATTGGTGTGTTAGGAAAGGCGCAAACTCTAGTCTTATAATGCATTCAACACACACAAACGCCCACGACATTCGATTGTGGGCCGCCCATACCCGGGCCTCCACAACGTGAATAATTACTGCCAAACCCAAGCTAACATAATTAATGATAAAAGTTATACATAAATTTTATTTATTATATGCCAACTTGAATTATTTTTTTTGATATATTTTTATAGATGTACATGTCAAAACAAGTTCATTCTAAGTACAATGAACAAATTAACACCAGTAGAAAATTGGTTTTTTTATTACGGAACAATCTTGGAATTGTAGTAAATACTAGGATTTATTGTGGCAAAAAAATATTTGGTACAACTATTTACCCTAGCTAGTAAAGGTTTTGCCACGCCCGTATATATTACGGGGAAAATTTGTAGCAAATGCACAATAAATGTTTTTTCTACTACGTAGTTGGTACTTTTTACTACAGTTAATGGTTGTACGTAATAAAACATTTTTTACTAGTGAAATCAATACTATAAAACCCCATGCATATACATACATTCCTTGCCACTCTCATTCCATTTCACATTCTACTGTGTGTATTTTTATCTGTGTGTGTGTTTACTGTGTGAGAACTGAAAAACCTAGGGTTTCCATGGCGGCGGAAAGTTACAAACCCCATGCAGTCTTTGTCCCATTCCCAGCACAGGGCCACGTAAACCCCATGCTCAAGTTAGCCAAGCTCCTCCACAACCGCGGCTTCTTCATAACCTTCGTCAACACCGAGTACAACCACCGCCGCCTCCTCAAGTCCGGCGGCGGCCCGGCCGCCCTGGCCGGATTGCCTGACTTCCGGTTCGCCACCATTCCCGACGGACTCCCGCCGTCGGAATTGGAGGACTCCACACAGGATATCCCTTCTCTCTGCGACTACTGCAGCAAGACTTGCTTGGAGCCGCTCTGCAACCTCCTTACAGAGATCAACAGCTCCGGCGAGGCGGGTGTGCCCCCGGTGACCTGCATTGTCACCGACGGGTTTATGTGTTTCGCACTGAAGGCGGCGGAGGCGTTCAGTCTGCCGGCGGCGGTGTTCTGGACGACGAGCGCGTGTGGATTTTTGGCGTACACGCATTACAAGTATCTCGTGGAGGAAGGTTTCGCTCCCCTCAAAGGTACATACGTACAAGTACTATTAATAAGGCAATAAGGCAAAGTACGGCCATCTCCGAAATAATGTTATAAAAACTCCCCTCTTGTTTGCATAATTACAACAATCCTTTAATTATGTATTGTCTTGCACGTTTATCCTTACAATGTCAGAGACTTAGGATTTTCATTCGGTCGGTAAACCGATCAAATCGAACTGGACAAAAGTTCGTACATGGCGGTTACCGATCCGTTAATTTGATGGTATTCAGTTTTATTTTATTATATATATATGTAATATTTGTATTAGATTTAAATTAATTAAAAAAAATCAAAATTTTAAATATTTTAAATAAAATTTTGGTATTTTGATTATTTAACGAATCAAACGCTAAAAAGTATAGAATTTTTGGCGTACCGCAATTTCTGTACAATTTTACCGAATGAACACCTCTAAATTCATCAGCTGGAGGGATTTTTTTGTAAAATAATACATAGTTGAGGGGGTTCTTGTAATTATGCAAACATGAGGGATTTTTTCGAAATTTGACCTTACCTCAGGCGGTGGTCCTAGTATTCCCTTTATTAATAAAAGAAACCCGTACACCCGGTTATTTCTATGCTACACCCGGTGAAGGTTACACCGAGTGTTTTTTTACCGTTGATGTACACACACTAATGTGGGTGTGTGTGTTTGTGTGTATATGAATGGTTAAGATCTACCCAGTGTAATTCAGCCAGTGTAGCATAGTATAAGCCCGTACACCCGAAAATCGAAAATTTATTGCATATAAATGTATAAATAATCTTTCAATTTTCTCCCAAAAAAAACAAATCAAGAATTGTAAAAGTTTCCACCATGTTTGGATTTTTACAGACATGAATCAAATAAGTGATGGGTATCTGGAGACAACATTGGACGAAGTACGAGGAATGAAACAAATCAGATTGAAGGATTTCCCTTCTTTCATCCGTACAACAGATCCCGAAGACATAATGCTCAATTTCTGCATCCAAGAAACCGACGCCACACACACAGCCAAAGCCATAATCATTAACACATTCGACGCGCTGGAACAAGACACCCTCCACGCGCTCTCCGCCACGTACGCCCCACTCCCCATCTACACGATCGGCCCACTCCTCAATCAAACCACACGCGCCGCCTCCAGTCTCTGGAAAGAAGACAACAGCTGCATCAAATGGCTCGACGCCCAACACCCCGGCTCCGTACTGTACGTCAACTTCGGCAGCATCACGGTGGCGACACGTCAGCATCTGGCCGAGTTCGCGTGGGGCCTCGCCGACAGCCGCAAACCTTTCCTCTGGTGCGTCAGGCCCGATGTGGTGGTGGGCGGCGGAGCCGCCCTGCCGCCGGAATTCACGGCGGAGGTTCGCGACAGGGGCATGGTGGTTGGGTGGGCCCCACAGGAGCGGGTGCTGAAGCATCCGTCTACTGGAGGGTTCCTAACGCACTGCGGGTGGAACTCGACAATAGAAAGCATTGCCAATGGTGGTTTGCCTTTGATTGGCTGGCCGTTTTTCGCGGAGCAGCAGACCAACTGTAGGTACAGTTGCGTGGAGTGGGGGATTGGGTTTGAGATAGATACCGATGTCAAGAGGGCTGACGTGGCGGCGGCTGTGATCGAGTTGATGGACGGTGATAAGGGGAAGAAGATGAAGGAGAAGGCGTTGGAATTGAAGAGAAAAGCAGGGGAGGCAACTGCACCGGGTGGTTCTTCTTTCATGAATTTGGATAAACTCATCAATGATGTTCTTCTTCGCTAATTAATTTCGTGTGCTTCATGTTAGGCAAACAAGTGCACGTGCGCGTTCTTTATTAAATAATAAAGCGGACAACGAATATATAGTTGTTGATCGAATAACTTATTATTTCTCATTATGAGTGCTTAAGTAATGAAAACTATATATTGTTTTTCACTTTTTGGTGCCAATTTGTTTGAAACCTAGCACTTCAGTTTCTTAATGTATCTGTGTTTTGGATATGTTTGTTCGTACTCGTAGATATTTGCCGAATATCTTATGGGCCTTTACAACTTCTGAAAAATTAAAAACATATTTAAATATCTAATTTTCAAATATTTTTGTTACGTCCCCTAATTATTTACATAATTTAGTAATCAATTGAAAATTGATTGTTGACAATAATAATTATTTTGAGTATATATATTTGTATGGAAATACATAAAAATAAATTTATATGTATGAAACACGTGAATTAATTTCACAATGTGTTTTTAACTTTTCTTAAACTCTAAACTAAATCTTAGTTAGTGGGCTAAGTAGGGTTAAGTAGTGCTTAGTGGATTTAATTATGGAATTTATCTTAACTTCCTATCTAACCCACTAACCCATTATCTTGAGTGCTCTTGTGGTTGGTTTTCTTGCAGATCATGGGCTGAGAAGTGGAAGCTTGGCAAGTCTATAAATACCAAACTCAAGACTCAAGATTTGTGCAGATTTTGAGGAAACAAAAATAGAGCTGAAGTTTTAATCTCGAGAATTTTAGTGTGTTTTCTAGGATCTGTTGTACGTACTCTTTATGAGTACATTCTTTGAAATCTAGAATTTTTAATATTTTTCTTTTAGTATCTAGATTTGGTTGTAAGAGTGATCTTGAAAAAGATTCATTCATAAGGAAGAAGTTTTCGCACTCTTCTGTTTGTATTCTTAGAATACTGTTTTTAATATATTTTTCCGTCCTGTAAAGGGCAAGTTCACAAGTCTTTACTTGTGAACATTTTTAATTCTGAGCATTGTCTTTTAATCTTTATATTTCCGCTGCATGTTGTCTCAAGTGTCATAACATTTTAGATAACATCTCTGTATAATACGAATTCGGGACCATAAATTCTTTCAATTGATATCAGAGCCAACACTTGACGTATACTAAGTGTTTGTTCCTATTTTCTTCACAGAAACGAATTCGTGATGGATACTCAGATGACTGCTTCTATGCGACCTCCTGTACTTGATGGCACGAACTACACCTACTGGAAAGTCAAGATGAGGGCGTACATCAAAGCCATTGATGAGAGAGCATGGAGATCTATTCTCACTGGATGGAAGCCACCAACTATCACAGATGTGGACGGAGATGTTTTTCCAACTCCAGAATTACGGTGGACACCAGACGATCTATCAAATGCTAACCAAAACTCAAAGGCGTTAAATGCAATTTTCAATTCAGTAGATTTAACAATGTTTAAATTAATCTCTGTATGCACTTCTGCAAAGGATGCTTGGGAAATTCTTCAGCTACATTGTGAGGGATCAGATAGTGTCAAAAGAACCAAGCTCAGATTACTCTCTTCCAAATTTGAGAGACTGAGAATGGAGGAAACTGAAACAATTTCTCAGTACAATGAGAAGTTGATTGATTTGGCTAATGAATTTCAATCCTTAGGTGGTCCCTTGAGCAACGAGACACTAGTGAATAAGGTATTGAGAACTCTTCCAGAAAGGTTCAGCATGACAGTTACTGCTATTGAGGAGGCTAAAGATACATCATCTCTACGGCTGGACGAGTTAATTGGTAGTCTCAAGTCCAGAGAAATGAACTTCGAAGATCAAAGAAAGGAGAAAGGAAAGGCTATCTCAAATGCACTCCAGGCAGAATTAGAAAAGGAAGATGTTGCTCCGGAATTTGATGATGATGCAGAAGAATGCCTCAACAATGTGGCATTTCAGATTCAGAAGTTCAATAGGGCGTACAGACGAAGTGGAATCAAGCCCAGACAGTTATTTCCAGAAGGGTCTCCACAAAATCGACAAACTCAGCCCCGGAACAGATCAATTCCACAGAGAACATTTTCTCAAACACCTTCTCAAAACAATTTAAAAAATTCTTCTTTTATTCGTTCAAATTCTGAACCACCTAACTTAGATCATATTAAATGCAGGGCTTGTTCAGGATTTGGACATTATGCTAATGAATGTGCAAATACCTTGAGAAGGAGAGGAATGAGTTTGATTTGTGCTGTCAGTGATGAGGAGGAAGAACAACCTGAACAGACAGAGGAACAACAATCCTCTAAACAAGCTCTTTCTGTCAGATATCTCACTGAAAGTTTCTCTGAAACAGAATCCCAAGGAGTCTCTCTGGATGCTGCAACACTTTCTGAAACACTTTCAGTTTGTGAGTTAAATACTGATCATTATACATGTTTAAACTCTATTTCTGTGAATGCAGCAGAATCCAGTAATGAAGCAGTCAGTGATGATGAAGAAATGTGTAAGAAGCTGATCAGAAATTTGGAGAAGAAGACTCAAGCTCTAGATGCAGCCAACAAGGAAAATTCCTCCCTCAAAGAAACAATCACACATTTGGAGGTTGGAATCACCAAGAAGGATCTTGAACTGGCAAAAGTGAAAGAAGAACTCAAAAAGGCAACTCTAGCAATCAAGAGGATGAACACTGGCACAACTAAACTCGAAGAGATTGTGTCAATGGAAAAGCACTACAAACATGAAGGGCTAGGGTTCAAGAAACAAATGAAGCCAGTTAAGAAGAAAGAAATTGTTTTTGTAAGAGAAAAGGGTGCAAACAGAAAGGATTGCAGGAAGTCCACAGTCACCACTTCAGATTCCAGAATAAGAGGTTATGTTTGTCATTATTGTTTCTCACCAGGACACATTCGTCCATTTTGTGAAAAACTCAGCAGTGACAAAATGTTGTATAAAATAAGCCACAACACTTCAAGGAACACCTCAAAGAAAAAGGTAGAATCTACCAAAAAGGAGTGTAAAATATGGACTCCCAAAGGTAAACTTTTGTGCAAGGCAGTATACACCTCTTTAAATGCTAACATTTCAGGTTCATGGTACTTTGATAGCGGATGCTCGAGGCACATGACTGGAACAAAGGAATTTCTATCAAACTACCACACACTTAATGGAGGACGTGTAACCTATGGAGGAGGAGCTAAAGGCAAAGTGGTTGGACGTGCAACACTCAGTATTGAGGGACTTCCAAAACTGTCAAATGTCCTGCATGTTGAAGGATTGGGATCAAATCTCATCAGTATCAGTCAATTGTGTGATGATGATCTACGTGTAGAATTTGATAAATATTGTTGTTCTGTGTTTGATAATCAAAATCATTGTGTACTTACAGGTTCCAGATCAATGGATAATTGCTATCAAACATGTGACACCATCTCATGTAAGAGCTCAAGAGTAAGTGAAATAGAGCTGTGGCCCCAGAAACTCGGGCACACAAACTTCAAAAATCTGAAGCTGCTCAACAAATACAATGCCATAAGAGGTGTACCAGATCTCAAGATCAAGGATATTCCTATATGTGGAATGTGCCAGAAGGGAAAGCAAACCAGAGTACCACACAAAGTGCTGCAACACGTTGGTACCACTATGTGTTTTGAACTTGTACATATGGACCTTATGGGTCCTATAGAGGTAGAAAGTCTAGGTGGTAAAAAATATGTCTTTGTATGTGTTGATGATTTTTCAAGGTATACTTGGGTGTATTTTTTAAGAGAAAAATCAGACACTTTTGAAGTGTTCAGAAATCTGTACAAGTTTGTGAAAACTCAATTTCTAGTTTCTGTTCGTAAAATTAGATCTGATCATGGAAAAGAATTTGAGAATGCTTTATTTCTTGCATTTTGTAATAAAAAAGGGTATAAAGCATGAATTTTATGCTCCAAAAACTCCTCAGCAAAATGGCATTGCTGAAAGAAAAAACCGAACCATCCAAGAAATGGCTAGGGTGATGATGAGTGCAAAAAATCTGTCTAAAAGGTTTTGGGCTGAGGCTGTCAACACAGCTTGTCACATCTCAAATCGTGTGTATCTAAGATTAGGATCTATGATGCCTTCATATGAAATTCTTTATGGTAAGAAACCTAATCTAGAATACATGCATGTGTTTGGATGTGTCTGCTATGTTCTAAATGATAGAGATCACTTAGCTAAATTTGATTCAAAAAGTGATTTGAGTTTGTTTATGGGATACTCTAACAACAGTCATGCTTATAGAGTATATAATCTAAGAACTCGAACCATTATTGAATCTGTAAATGTGGTATTTGATGATTTTGCTGACCTTCGCAGTAAAACAGCTGAAGATGAAGTTGATGATTTAATTGCTGAAAGAGAAACAACCGAAGAAGTCATTTCTACCACAGATGATCCAGATACAGACAGTCCAGATCCGAGAGAAGAAGGTGCTGAGCCAAATGTTACCACATCGGACTCAGCACACCATCCAGAAACTGAATTGCAGCCAACCCTTGATGTCTGCAGAAAGGAACCCTCAAGTAGAATTCAGAAAAATCACCCATCTACTCAAGTAGTGGGAGATATCTTTGATGGAATGAGGACCAGAAGAAAAGAGAGAGTAAACTACAGAGATATGGTAAGATTTGCAAATTTATCTTCTGAATGTGCACTAACTGGAACCACTTGTTTTGTGTCCTCAGTAGAACCAAGAAATATTGCAGAAGCTCTGAAGGATGAATTCTGGGTAAATGCAATGCATGAAGAGTTGAATCAGTTCATCAGAAATGATGTTTGGTACTTAGTTCCCAGACCAAATCATGTAAATGTGATAGGAACTAAGTGGATCTTCAAAAACGAAACTGATGAAAAAGGTACAGTGGTTAGAAATAAGGCTAGGTTAGTAGCACAAGGTTATACCCAAATTGAGGGTATAGACTTTGATGAGACTTTTGCTCCAGTAGCTAGAATTGAATCTATTAGATTACTTCTTGCTATAGCCTGCTTTCTTAAAATCAAACTGTATCAGATGGATATCAAAAGTGCATTTCTGAATGGGGTTCTGAATGAGGAAGCATATGTAGAACAACCCAAGGGTTTTGAAGATTCTACTAAGCCTAATCATGTTTTCAAGCTTAAGAAGGCACTGTATGGTCTTAAACAAGCTCCTAGAGCTTGGTATCAAGGACTCACTGACTTCTTACTTGACATACAATTCAATA